AAGTCCCAGAAGTGATTAAAAAGTAAGTTCTCCAAATAATATCCACACATTATCAGGCAAACAGGTAATGAGAATCCTCAAATTTATCAGGTAGAATTTTTTACCTTGATCTAAAACCAAATTCTTGTAACTAATTTACAAGGAAATGTGTATCAGCTAAGGGGAGAATTAAGGTGACCCCTTGGCAATACATCAGGCTTCCTAGTCAGTTTGGTGGTACCATGCGTTATACTCCTGGGTGGAGATGGTAGAGGAAGGAAATGTAAGAGTTGTATCCACATGCTAGGGTCTTTCCCAAGAACTCTAAACTGACCCAGCTAGGACCTAAGCCCAAACTAGACTGAAGCCCATTTCCTGTTTGCTAAGCAAGGTATCTAAAATATAAAGGCCCAATGAAACAGCCTTAAGTTCCATATGAAGTCAGTTAACAAACAAGGTAATAAAAAAAGCCAACCTGTTGACACATGGTGCTAGCCAAGCAACTGAGAATACTTTTAATTCTTCATCATCTGTTTCAAAGGCTAAAATTTTGCTTTACAAGTTCAAACAAGGGTGTATGTAAAAAAAGGACTTTTAATCACTATTTCCCTCAAAAAGCATCACATTTCTAACAGTTTTGTGAGAAAGCTCTTTATTTTTCCATCACCTTTAAGAATTGAAGGCATGACTGAAGAGAAAATACATGTGTGAAAAGTTTTAATTTGAATTCTCTCCAAAAAGTGTAAAATTTCTAACAATATCCTTATGCTGTGAATATCAGAGAGTATTAAACATACCTGCAGCAATCATAGCTGGGTTATCCTCCCTTGCCACAAGCCTTCTGGAACTGCTTGTCAAAGAACTAGGTGAACATTTGTACATTACTCAACAAAGTGGTGTCAGAAATAAGAGTAGCATTGTGTTCATTTTGCATTCAGAAAAGATTCATAAATTCAAAGTTGATTTGCATTGAACAAATTCAAAGACTGTCATCACCTTCTTGACAGCTTGAAAGACTAATGACTCGATGAGTCTAACAATTTGGTAACAGTGTATTTTTATTAAAAAAGCTATTTAAATGCTTGACATTCAGAGCATTAATTTTTCCCATACATGGAGCTCATCAACTGCACATCACCTTAAAAGAACTGTCATTCAAGACTGATAGTACAGTCAGAGGACTTACATGTCAAAATCCAGATGTGATATGCCATATGTGATCAGGTCTCTGACTTTTTCTGCCTTCTCTTGATCACAGAAAAATGCATGAGAGTGGTAGAATTCTCTGCAATGAAGATAATGATAGGTAAGTATATTTATGACTTTTCCATGCCCAGCACTGTATTTTTAATTCTACAAACTTAAAATCACTTTAAGATTGATGCCCAACACATCAAAAAAAAAATGCTTTTTTTTTTTTTAAATAAATTTAATATGCATTTGAGGTCTAATATTACACCTATCAGTAACTCTAGAGATAGTACATGCTGCAGGCACATTTTTTGAAAGGGAGATAAGTTTCCTTAGAGACACAGCTAACCTTTGGACAAAAATTACCAGACAGGTTCCCTGAAATAGCTAAACAACATTTATAAGTATTTGAGTCATGGTTTAAGATGTCTCCTGGCTAAAGTGACTTTAAACTAGTTTTAAAAGACTTTTGTGCTAACCCTTTAACTCCCAGATCAAATTTGTCATTCTCCTTACTGTCAACAATACAATTCTTATAATGTTAGTTCAGAGAATTTAGTATAGATATTTTTCTTTATTTTCATCACTTATCTGGTTGATATTGTATTGCTTTGTGAGAAGAAATTCTGTCTTGGTCACTCATAGGAGTTAAAGGGTTAAACAGATAAATCAAACTAGTTTGAAACCATTATAATCTGAAATTCATAGTACACTACAAAATATACATAATTTATGTTCTTTGTCATCTATACACTTTATTTGCTGGTTTAACCTACCCTCGAAGAGGGGGTTTATCATTCCACTATTATTGCATTTTCAAGTCATTTGGTTTCTAGTTTTCAAATTTTTGGATGGCCTTATCCAAGCATCATGTCAATTGCATAAGACATGCATGAAAGAAGAACACAACACACAAGAAACCACTTGAGTGTTCTTGATGACTAAAAAAATTTGGGCTTCAAAGTTATTTGCTGGAAAAAAAAATCATGTCTAAAAGCAGAAAAGAAATCAAAGATTGCACAAATTGTTTCCATTTGTATTTTTTCCCTTTTTTACAGTGTAATACTGTGGCATATTTAGCACATTCCATTAAAATGACATAATATTGGAATGATAATATCTAGTATTTCTCTGCAACACACTATAGGTACAGAATGGGTGAAAAACGTAGTCTGCTCAAATTCCCATGAATTAAAATACTTCAGAGAGTTAACTGATGCGATAACTTAAAACAATGACTTGATATGGGTGAGTAACCCTAGAACTCCTTTGAGTGATTAGCATTTCGTTTCTCCAAATAGTATCACTGCTGAATCAAACATGAAGGTCATGAAAACAAAAGAAATGATCACCCACTAAAGAAACAATTTAGTAATTGTCAAACAAATACTCCTTGTCAGTACCAGAAGAAATGTATGGAGAATGGTAAAGCAAATAAACATGTATATGCATACTGATTTTGGGATGTAAAGGGCTAAATGACTGGAATCAGAACCTCTCCTCAATATAAATCATAGGAAAAGAACTATTAAGTGTTTGCACCATGAACCCCTTCACTCACTCACTCTTACTACTCCCTGATTAGCAATTCTCGTTACTGTCAGCCAAACAATTTTATGATGCTAGTTGAGAGAATTTGTGTTGGACCAACTAACAATCCTCTCATTGACATTTCTTTTTATTCTCATCACTTGCCTATTTGATATTGTATTGATATCCTAAGGAGAAACTCTATCTTGGTCACTCATGGGAGTTAAGGGTTGCAATTGTTTGGATCCTTTACTTATTATTTGAATTACCAATTGAATAATTTATATGCACATGTATATCAAACCTAAGGAGCTTTTCGTCCTGTGTAATAACATTTATGTAGCTGCTAAGTGTGTTTTCCTTCAGTCCTTGTCTTATCCAAGCCAAACATTTCTCCGGTTCACGTTTCAGTTGTAGTCTATTTAAAGAAAAAAAAAATAGACAATCACTTGATAGAGCATCGCTCAATTTGGAGCTTCAACATCCCCCCATTTGGTCATGGGCATTTGACTGTCATCCTTCCCCTGAGGATGGGAAATTTGAGCCTTGCCTAGGTGGGGTTGGGATATTTGAACCAACAGAATACACCTGTTTGTTTTATTTTAAACCTAAAATAATAATTTTAAATATGGAGGAAGAGGAGAATATCCTTCATGTGTCTCACACATTAAAACTTCTGTAATACATTGAACTGAGAACATTCCCTAAAGTATCTTGGTTTATGTACCGTTTGATGTCCTCGATATCTTTTTTACAAGTAATGTTGTTTGCCAGTGACCAAAAGGAAACTTGGCTATTAGAGGCCCAGCCCAGCAGCCTGCAAGAAACAACATGATTTGAGGTTGCTTGGCAGGCTGTTCACTGAATAAAAATGAAGATGAATAAATCAATACAATCAATCCAAACAAATACAAACCCTTCCTTTAGTCCGTGATTGAAGATGTCCTCCATACAGAAACATAATTTGTCTACTGCACTGCAATTCCATATCACACTGTATCCTTGTGCAACATGCCCTTGAATCTAAGAAATACAAAGGTTGAAAGATTTTTTACACATTTCCATATTTGTTGTATTTAAGTTCAACTTTTGAACAATTCAAAAATATACAGAGAACTTGCATTGGCTATGATAAGCTTTCTATAGCATTGATAAGTAAGCTAGAAATTCAATTTCACAGTGGCTAACTTCACTCAAATATATATGTACACATGTACGTGTAAATCAAAGTGGCAAATTTTAGGGGAAACTTATCCAAGTGCTGGGATCAATTACGAACCATAGCTCATACTAAATTCCTCTGACTTTCCATGGTAAACCTCCTTGAGTTTCAAAGTCCACAGTCCATTTGCCCCTACAATACACACCCTAAGTACAGTTTATATTTAAGATTATCTACTAGTCCTTGCACTGCCAATTTTTTAGCCTACCAGCATGCCCTTGTGTTTGGGTTTCCCCTGACAGCCTGTTTTCAGCCGACAGCATGGAAAATTAATGAAACCACCAAATACTAAGAGATACCCTTAAGTTTTCAGCTCAATTAATTCCCAGACAGCTTGCTTGCTTCCATTCTCAATTACTTTATGGGGATTGAATACAAACACCACATGTAATGGACTCTGTCGATTAGCTCTTAAGTAAAAAAAAGAAGATAACTTATAACATTACTAAATGTTATACTCATTCCGGTATATCATGAGTATAAGTTGATTAATGCGCATACATACGTGAATAAACTTATCACGCTATTTCTAATGACAACACCTAGGTTTTTAAAAATGCTACATCAAGGATCTAAAGAAGTCAAGAAATAAATTGTTGACTATTTCTCATGTTTCGCGTAGCCCATATCTGCTTCTGCGCTTCCTTCTTTCATACACGAAAAACATTTCATTTAAATCTCCACACAATTCGTATAAAGTTTAACAGCTAGTTTGACCACCGTTCTTTCGCTTTACAAAGCGGATGTTAAAGTGACACTACATACAAGCACGTGCATCGATTCAAAACCAACCCTTCTGAACTTGAATTGCGGAAGGAAGTTTCTACTAATCGTACGGCTTCCATGTCACAGATTATTTAATATTTTAGTTACAATTCATTAGTTATAAAATATTATGTCTGCCTCTTAGTTATAATTTTACAACTAACTCCCAAGTCAACTGAGGGGTAACCTTTCTTTATCAATTTTATATGGAAAACTGCCAAATGGAAGGTTTTGTTTCGAAAATGGAGAACGACGCATCACATTTGGGAATGCTTTCATATTAATCTTACCTCTTGAACTGCAGAAGAAAGATTTTGAAACAGTTCGTCGCGTTCGGAGTCGTGTGAGTTCTGCATGTCCTAAGACTTCAGACTTGAAGCTGTATAGGTCTGAACGAATCGCGAAAGGACCGTGTTAACAGGCCACACGAAGACAACAGCTGATGAAACGTCATATCATATTCCATGTGGATATTACAACGTCAATCACTCCTTAATGGACAGTAGTTTTCGATAAACAATTATATTTTATCCCAATATGAGCAGGACTTCTGGTTAAAGTGACTTTTAGAACAATCTAGTTTGACATGAGATTGATTCGATAAACGCAACGACAAGAACTCGGACTTTCCGTACACAACACGTTAGATAGGAGTTCGGCGACGCGGTTGATCCTGAGCCAAACAAAAAATTGTGGGGAATTAAGCTGAGCCGTCTTGCGTGAGAGACAGCTTCGTCAACAACCGCTATTACCGTTGTTGAGTTTTTCAAAGGAAATCTCGCGCCTTTCTCACAAAAGTAATGTCGGCCATATTTGTTTCTAATACGGGAGTTTTGGATTTGACACAACGCTGGCCAAGGCTGTAGGGTAAGACGGCTCAAGTTCAATATGGCGGTCGCAGAAGAAGCCTTGAAAGTTTGTGAGACTTTGGAAAAGATTTTGAAGGGAACATTTGGACCGAACGGACACGACGTCATGCTGAATTCATCTTCAGGAGAAATACTTATTACAAATAATGGTGCACTAATTTTAAGGTCGTTGAATTTAGAAAATCCCATCGGGCGAACTATTGTCAACAAAATTGTGTCCTTCTCCTCAATCTCTGGAGACGGCGCAACATCATTCGTGTTGCTTTTATCATCAATCCTACGGGAAGCCGTTTCCATTACAGGAATGAGAGATAACTTTGATCCCACTGAAACTTTATCAATCCACCGAGGAAAAACTTTAGCTGCATTGTCTCGAGCTTTTTACAAACTTGAATCAAGTTTACTTGAACATGAAGTTGTTGTTTCAGTTCTGAACGGAATCGCAGTAACTACAGACCTTGAGGCCGAGGATTCCTCGCTTATCAAACAGAGAATGATTAGACTTCTCATCACAACACTTAACGGAAAATTCCCGACCAGTTTAGTTTCAAACTTTGTTGAACTTCTTTACCAGGTGGTGATGGAGACTTGGAAATCATCAGCTATTTCCCTGCAGGATGCACTTTTACATGTAATTGACGAATTCGGCCAGATCTGTGTAGAAGTTCCTGGTGTTCCAATTTCTTCTTCTCATTTGAAGCCTGGAGTAATAATACCTCGTGGATTTTCCATCGAACAACAAGGAGTTCCCAAAACTTCTCAGGAGTTCATGTTTGTTGTTATGAACTGTAGTTTTGACTTCTTGGGACCACAGACATCATCATCAATTCAAATAAAGGATGAAACATCTTTAGGTTTGAGTGTTGAGTGGAAAAGAAACCAAGTAAAAAAAGTAATAACCATGTTCAATGAACATAAAATTAAATTAATTCTGTCCTCAGAGAATGTGCCAGACTTCGCCTTGCATTTCTGTAGGCAGTATGGCATTGCTGTTGTTAGCAGCATTCCTCAGGAGTATGTCAGGTATATTTGTAAGTGTACAGGAATACTTGCCATTAATGATGTTGGTGAGGTCAATCTGTCAGAACTCTTTGTTGGAAAGGGTGTTTCATGTGATCTTCACACAATAGGTCATCATAGATTTGTCCATCTTGAGTTGGATTTATCAAACTGCAAATTCTCTCCATGCAGCATACTTCTTTGTTCTCCAGTACAAGGATTATGTAGGCAGTATTACATTGTTCTTCACCATGCACTAAAATGCATCAAAATGTCCTTTAGTGAAGATGGAAAGAAGTTGCTCTTTGTACCAGGTGCTGGTGCATGTGAACTGGCCTTGAGCTTTTCTTTAAAAAAAATTTCAAATAGTGTAAAAGACTCAAATTTATCACTGGCTTTGGAAATCCTGAGTAGTGCATTGCGAGCCATACCAAGGTTCCTCCATCAAAATTCGTTTTCCATGTCTCATCCAAAAGAAAATTTCATTCACTGTTTGAATGAGATGGAGAGGTCTTTGAAGGATGATGGATTGTTGTTAGGGATAGATTCAAAGACAGGTAAATCAATAGATCCTCAAGAATGTGAAATTTTTGAGCCTCTTCAAGGAAAACACCTGCTCTGGCAGAGTGTGTTACAGTGCACATCACAACTTTTGAGGACAGATAAGCTTATTGGTGTAAGAAAAATAGACAATGGTGTGTGAGGAATAAAATAAAATCTTATTTAGAAAGCTACTTTTGTTTTATTGAAAAAAAGAGGAGACCAAACCATGATTTCAGAATTATTCTTTTCCCAAAATATAACTGGATGATAAATAGTTCTGTCGAGTAATAGATAGATAAACCAAGTCATTAGTTAACAGCTCAAAAAATACATGAAAACAGATGCCAATGTGTGGGAATGTGAAACCTGAACATGTTTGTAAATATTGTCCTCTCAATGGGCCTCTCTCCGTCAATTTTAATGGTTGACCATTTCTCCATTGTCTCTGGTAACTTAAAATCACTGCAGTGGAAGCACATGATCCCAATTGCGACAAAAATTTCACAAGTAAGACAATCCTCAAACACTGAAAACAATTATTTTTGATAGCAATAAAACCATCTCTTTTCGATTGTATTGAATTTTGTATTTATCCATGAAATTTTGTTAAGTTTACAGAAAATCAAGACACTCATTCTATATTCGGGAGAGGTAGCTTACTGTTAAGAATAGATGTTGAGAAAAGTCATTTGAAGAAATCTACGCCCGCGAGCAGTTCATTTGACATAAGCAGCAGTTGTCTAAAACAAAGATGGTCAGCGGGTTTGCCATAAAATTCAATATGGCGGCTAAACGCAAGGCAGAGGATGACGATGATGGTGAAAATGTATCAACTTTGCAACAGAAAAGGCAGGAAACTACGACCACACAAGAAACAACGACTGCTTGTAACACGGATTCTTCATATTACCCACAGTTTTACGAACAACGCGGTCCGTGGATAACTATGTTCGACTGGAATAGCGGACTCAACTATTATCAAAATATTAGCGATTATAGAACTCAATGGGAAAAACCGACCGAATGGGATTCTCTTCACCCACTTTTTATTCCAGCAAACCAATATTTTTATCAAGGATTTTACAACGGAGCAGCATATGGTAAAACAAACAATGATCCTGTGGAAAACGTTAAACAAACTGCCTGTGATGTAGAAGGTATGGTTGAGAGACTTCTAACAAAGCCAGCTCGTCGACAGATTGATCCTGAAGAAAAAGAAAAGTTGCACTGGATTCCTGAAGGTGCCACGGAGTATAATATATGGTACGATCGATGGGTGGGAGAACATTGGCGGAATGACAAAGATCACGGTTAGTGATGTGAAAGACTCTTGACACTCGGGAAGGGAAAGAACGAGGTAACACTGCTTCAAACCATGTAGGCCTCCGATATTCCTGACCCTAGCGCTAACCAATGGAATATCGGGGGCTCACATGGTTTGACACAGTGTTAAGTCGTGGTTTCCTTCAGGAAGAGAGGGAAGAGTTCATTTGAAAAGTAGTGATGAATTAGGACAGTCTAGGAGATAGCATGAGCAAAGAGGAGAAGGTGAATAGGGAAACAGAGGGGAATGGAAATAGGAGATACATAACACTTTCAACAGCAACAGATCATTTCAAATACTGAAGTGGAAGATTGAATTTTTCCAAAGGAGTGGGATTTATGAAGCAACATCCAGTTGGCTAAACAGATAGAGAGATTGAGAGAAACTTGAGACTTGACCAAAAACTTCATCATCCTTTTTTTCTGGTTTTGTTGTAGGGCCATCAGAGACAAAATGCTGCATAGAAACAGATGCAGGATTCACCAAGGCAAATATTGATGATCCTGGTGGAAACAAGCATTATTATTGCATTTATTTTGCTAGAGGCTGTTGTCATCTGGGTTCTGATTGTGGTTATCTGCATATTATACCCACTGATAAAGATGAAAAGAGGTCAGTGGTAATAATATTAGCATGCTTACAATTACATTAATGATATCAGCATTCATATATTGACTGAGGTGTACATTTGCGATGATACACACAAGCTAGATCAAATGGATGTAATATTAAACATTTCTTTTTAAGGTAGAGGTTTAATAAAGGAATTTGCTTTCCTAACTTATTTAGAATTGATCTAGCTCATGATGTTTTTGGCCGAGAACGTCATCGACTCCACAAGGAAGACATGGGAGGGGTTGGCACATTTGATAAAGAATGCAGAACACTATATGTTGGAGGCCTGGGCTGTCGAACAACACTGGAGAAGCTTTTGTGGACTGAGTTTGGGGAGTGGGGTGAAATTGAGGTAAATGTCACACTTTTATGCCCTTCATAGCTGGACATTTTAGACTGTAGTGCCAAATATATTTAAAATTGCATGACTGATTAAAGTAATAGGTGGCTTTTAGATATATTGATACAAAATAATTTGGTTAACAAATACCAGGCTAGAAAATGAAGATGCTTCTGAAGTACATGATATGAATGTGCTGAACTTTGGTTGGAAGTTTATTAACCTTTGTTTTGATGAACAATTAAAATTAGGAAGATGTAATTGAATTGGTTTTTGAATTTAAGTTTTTTTTTCCTCACCTATTTAATTTGTGGTAAATTTTCCCTAGTGGACATGGACTTAACAGTAAAAGGGCTTGTGCCTTGGAAACTTAAAAGTAATTGTTTTTTTTTCTTCAATAAATCCTACAGGACATAAGAATAATACACAAACGCAACATAGCATTTGTACGCTACAAGAACAGAGTTAATGCTGAATTTGCAAAGGTGAGAGGAAGGTGTTTAATTATTTTTTATTTTTTCTCTGGTGAACTGTTCAGCATTTATTGTTCAACATGAAGATGTTACAGTATTTCATTTTTGTGAGTTTGGCAGATAGTTCTCACTCTTGAAAGATAACTTCCTGCAGTAAAAATTATCTTAAAAAATAAAATGCCACAATAAAATGCAGAGAACCTGTATCAATAGCTAATGAGTTATGATGCAGTTACACTTTTAAAGGAAAATTATGTTGGACCTCTTGTTTTTTAAGATTGCCATGTCAGATCAAAAGCTGAACAACAGAGAGTTGCTGAATGTGAGATGGGCTTACGATGATCCAAATCCAAAATCACGAAGAGAGGTACTCCACTAGTTTAGTTATATCTATAGCTGACAAACACACTAAAAGTAACTTTTAGTGTGTTTGTCAGCTATAGATATAAGCCTTTATGCAAATTAGGCTGGTCTTCATTCTAAGTTAGCGAGAGAACATGGAGACAGATTTCTGTTGAAGTGTAAGGCGTGGTAAGGAGATCATGCAAACAAAGATCTTTCTTTTTATTTACTAAAACGTGCTTCATGTTCATCCAGGAGCTGTTGAGATCTAAACATAGAGTACTTGAGGCGGCCACAGAGCGAGGGTTACTTCAGAAGGCTCTTACACGTCCCACTCAGCCATCTGGTGCTCAGGTTACAGGGCCTTATCCGAACACAGACAATCAGTACCCTGTGGAATGCGGCCCTCAGACTAAAGAGCAATTTGAGCAGGTATACTAGTCACCTAAATTCATCAGAGAGTTGTAATCATGTAATGATAAAGTCTCAAAGATTTGTTTGTCTCCCCACTGGAATATATATGGGTAATTATTAATATAGAAGAAAACCCTTAAAACTTTGAAATTTTTTTGTCCACCACAGACAGGGCTGGTTATTTAAACAAAAGCCGTAAAAAAAGCCGTCCATAACGGAACTGCGTCCCAAGCCATCTCCAGTTAAGCTGATCCTTTTATCTTTTTTTTTGTGGATCGTTTCAAGAGGGCCCAAAAGCTAATAGTGGAAGGACAGTCTTTTAAGACTTTTAATTGAATCAACCCTCTTATAGAGAATCCCTAAGGCCCATTGCTTGCGTAAAACCACGGTTTGGGATAGACCTCGTTGAAACAACTGGCCCATACTGTTTTAAAAACGATTTTTCTGAGCTCGAGGTCATAATCTGAAGTAGCACAACTGGCAGAGAATACTTAACTAATGTTCCACTTGGCGCTCAACTGCAATGATAACGTTTATGAAAATTATCATGCCTCACTCATCGAATGCCGCCATGTGTCAAAGATCGGGCGATATTCTTCAGCCCAATGATAGTTAAATTTATTATATACTCAACAAAATATCGCGTTTCTGATTGGTCAATGATGAATGCATAAATAGGTTATAGAGTGCAATAGAGGTTATAGAGTGCAATACGGAGAAGTTGCCATGGAAACACCGGGGAAGCGCCAAATTTGAACACCAAATTATAAAAAAATCGAGAATATAATAAATAAAAAATCGTATGAACCTGCTCGTGCATTTCGTGATTTATGGTCACTCGTGATGTTTTGAAAGTTCTCAAATTGCACGAGCCGTAGGCGAGTGCAATTTTGAGAACTTTCAAAACATCACTCGTGCCCATAAATCACGAAATGCACTCGCGTTCATACGATTTCCTATACGTATGACATGTAACCATTTCTCTCTTAACGTCTTGGAAACGAAGATCCTGGGATAAGGCGAACCATGTTTTCTGGCGCAGAATAATAAAATTCATCTATAAAAAAAGAGTTTCCTACATGGAACACACAAAGCAGTAGCCTTATTGGTAGTGAAGCACTAGACACAGCAACGCGGTCCTCTGATCTTATTAATGGCCGTTTTTATGCTAGAGACGTTAAAGTTGTCTAAGACGTTAAAGTCGTCTCGAGACGACTTTAACGTCTTAGACAACTTTAACGTCTCTAGCATAAATGCATCTATTCACTGATTATGAAACACCTAACTGGATTCCTTTCATTCATTTTCAATGTTTTTTTAGTTATTTATTCTAGGATTTTGTTACATCTCAACAATTATGTAGGTTTTTTTCGCGTAAAATCAGTAAAATGTCTTGATAATTCTAATTGTAACTTGACTTTTCTCATTTCCTTTCTTCAGGCCGAGGTTCTCCAAAATGTTTACACAGACTGTACAAGGTTAGACGAAGCCCTCAAGAAAGTAGAGGCCTTCCATTCCGAGAACACAAAGAAGGGTGATGTGAACACGGCTCAACAGCTTTCTGAATATAACAAGAATGAAAATAATCAAACCTCAGAGGCGTATTGGAACTGTTCTGATTATTATAGTGGGTACAGTAGTTACGATTACGGACAGGCGTGGGACCATTCACATCATAATCATCAGACTGAAGCAGGTTACTCTACGAAAGATCCTTACAGAGAAGTGATCGCAAGCAAAGAAGCGGAGTCAGATTCATCTTCTGCCGGTTATGATTCTGCGTCCATGAAAGTATCAACTTCCGAAGCAATCCCGAGTATCGACTGATCAATCTCGGAACCCGATCGTAGACCAGAGAGAAGATGATATAAACGTGTGCGGGGCTATGGTTCTTAAGTGCACGTGATCACCTTTTGTTAACAAAGAATGATGCAGGTGTCATCCTCGTAGAATTCGGTGCTTACCCAATGATTGGTTTTCTCTCTGGTCTGCCTTGTGAACACTGGCGAAGCTTGCCGTAACCGTAATTAGCTGGCACAAGCTCTAGGTGTTGTTACTTCACACGTCCACACATGTATACCTGTCATATGGCATCTCTGGGTTTTGTTATGATTGAGTTCAACGCAGAAAGGTCCTGTTTGATGTGATTTCTGTAAAACGCCTTTTCACGATTATTCATTCTGCCCGCCCGCCTCCCTCCCCAGTTTCCCTTCGGCAAAATGAAAAGTCCCGACTTCACCTTAAATGAATGGCCGCAGAACATCGGTGAGAAAAGATTGAATAATAATTGAATGCCTTAACGAGAGAACAACTTGAAATTCCCTAAAATTATTACTTGTTAAGTCACAGTGCATTACTTCTCTTAGGGATATGCCAATGAATTCTTCTAGATCTTATAACTTTTCTGTTCAAAAACAAAAAAAACCCAAAATCAAGTAAGAAGCCTTTCCTCCCTCTCTGCCCATTCCCTTGGATCTTTTCAGTTCAATTAAGGGCAGGAACATTAAACCTGACGGTAAGACAAATTTCAACTTATCAGTTTATCCCAAAGCGCAGCTAGTGGGCTGCGGTAGCTCTCCGCCCTCAGTTCGTGTGTTTAAAATATTTATGTTTATGCACTCAAATTCGAACGTTTCGCGGAGCAGATGTCATCAAAATCTTTCCGTGTGCCGCCCCATCCGTATAGCTGACTGTTAAAAGATAATATTCAATCTACAATCTCTTGCCGACAGCCTGATACACAGTTAATGGGTTGCCAAAGGGATGAAAGAGGAGAAAATAAATTTGAGCACAGAGTGTGTTATGCTGGTGATCGTTGGATCTGGTAACCTTCACTGTAACGTTTGGGACGGAATCTTCAGAGGTTTGAGACAAATGAAACTACATGTTATTGAGGAAGTAATTTATTTTCCGGGCGTTTGAGTGAGGAAGCAATTTTCTGCAAATGATCGCCCAGTCGACGTCTTCCTCTGCTTGAGTCTCGTTCTTGTTGATTCCCACATCATACGAAATGTGACCTGCCGGGACAAAAAAGTAAACATGCTGTTTACAAAACTGTAACCATCAACAACGTAGGAGAATGAGGGAAAAAATACCATGTGCATGACTAGATAGCGTTTAACAAAGAACAGGAAACCCAATGAAAACGGTGCACTTGCAAATATTACAACTGTAAGCAACAGTCTTCCCACCTCTCACGTACACGTGCCGAAAATGTTTCCCATTCCTGAATCCACAATAGTCTAGTAAGAACATCGAACTTAATCGTCCCTACATGTTGTCTTTAAGTCTGACTTGGCTGCGACATCGCAAACTGGATTTAAAAAAAAAAAAAACACGAGTGAGTAAATTTCCAAATCAATCAGATCTGCACCGCAAACAGACGTCATTAGACAACTGATTGTACGTGACAAGGGCTGGTTAGTCTGTGATGTCACGCTGAATTACTTTTCCACCAACATGGTTGATTGTGTACAAGAAAAGACCCTGTGAAATCCGCACGTACTGCGGCGAAATTAGCCCTGTTGACCATTTGACCTCAAGAGTGATTAGAATCTAACTTCTCCTTTAATATCACCCCTGAATCACTCGCTAAGGCCACAAGAATAAAGGAAATAACCAACAAAAGGTCTTGATGTTGAAACAAATTCTCCTTGACAGCACCTGAAGAAGCGTACAGAGTAAAGTGGGGAATGGCGCTGTAAAAGATGCTTTCCTGCCTTTGCTGTATTACCCTGCGATAAATCAAATCAATTTACGCTTACGGGTGGATAATACGATTTCATCCTTGAGTGCATGACGGAAAAAAAAAGAAAAAAAAAAAAGGCCAAACTTTAACACGTCATGGCGAAAAAATACGGCGACCTTCGAGAATTGATGGACGTAAAGACTTTCATATTAGAAGATATAGGCTGAGAAACGTAGCACATTATCTAAGGCAGAAACGGAACTTTTCAAGGTGGAAGAGTTCCCAAAATAATAAAAAAGGTACTATAACCCAGGCGTTCTTGTACTCTGACAGGGACGAAGCTGAAGGGAGTGTGGAAAAGGTCTTCACTTGCATTCACTTAAATTCCTCTCGATGCACCTGAAAGCACCATAAGCAGAAACAGATATTTCACATCGCAGTTGACGCAAAAAGTAAATATAACTTGTTAGTATTTTCAACTTTCGCCGAAAAAGCAACCACAAGACAAAATCAAGATTATCGATCAAATGTGCTTTATGCAAATGCTTTGCGCAATTTTTACCCTTGTCAGCGAAACTAACCCTCCCAAAAGAAACGCTCTAGTGATAATTTCGTGTTTGGTCTTTAGCTGACGGCGCGTGCGTTGTTAATGAAGGAGCGGTACACAAAGCACTTTTTATCAACTATGTGGTTGAAAAATTCTCCAACGACCTATCGACGCCCGACGGATCACGGCGACGAAGTCATCACAAGGCACATGAACTGGGTTGATAAGCTCTCAAGTCCTTCTTAGGTGATTCTTGCTTTGTGTCAATTTTGGATTGATTCGATCGCAACATGTTGTGGTATCCTAATTTCATGACATGATTTACATGAGGAACACTCTAACTGATGCCAGCATACCTCAATGCTTTGATCTGATTGGTGCGAGAGACGTACACTAGTGCGGCGATCTAATTAGTGCGATACATACCCAAATGCAGCGATCTGACAGGTGTGAGCAACACACCACTTGATAAGCTAACACAGAGTTTTGATTAAGGGAAAAAAAACTCAAAAATATAATTCGATTAGCTACAATCGACTGGGGACTAATATAACGTTTTAAGTTCCTAAGACACTGATGTAACCACTCATTTTGTATTTCATCTTTCACTGAACATCTTTTATAATCTTTCATTGATTACGATATTAGATTTAACACTTTTCACTCTTTGTAATTCAATTATTCTATGTAGAGTTTCTTTACAAGTTAACAAACTTTCTATAATAAATATCCCTTTCGTCAAAGAAGATGGACTTGGCGTTTATTTGACGACTAGGACGACTAAATTAGACGCGATCAGTTTACGAGAATCCATCACAAGTCAGGACACGTCATAATTAGAATACACCAAAACCAAAGTAATCACAACTTCCAATCCGAGAAAAGGAAAATTTCGCAAACAGCCAGTAATAACTTAAGAAAAAATGAGAAAACGTCTGAGGCGGGGAAAAACGTGAGTACCAAATGGTTGGCTTAAGTTTCTGACTTCATTGGTTGTGAGAGTAAAGCGAGTCTTCTGGTCCAATCAAAGAACAAATAACTCAATTGCATATTAAATTCTGCAAATCAACATCCCGAGAAAAGTACGAGACGAAGATGCAACAGGAGCGTACTTCAAAGAACTGTTCGACAAATTGTGTCGTGGACAGGGCACCCAGGAACTCAAGTTGAAGGGAGAAATCTTGTACAGAAACTCACCCGTTAACACATTCCTTAGTGGGACATCCGTTTCGTCCTCCCATGTTTGGCCAAGCTCCACAAACAATTTACAACAAAAAAAGGACCACCACCACATTTAGATGACAAATAAATGAAAATTCAAATATGGCTTTGTCAGAGGTACCAGAAAGAACAAATTATATGCCGTGATGCTAAGTACGAAATCGTGTTGTTTGAGAGAATATTCCGTCAATCTGTGTCGACAAAGAAAAATGAGACTGGAAGCAAAGGTCAAGAAAAAGCATAAAGTATTCATTAAAATCTAAATTAAAACCACAAACAGCTCCAAATTGAGAGCAGATCAGCCAAAAAACAAAACAAAACATGACAAAAACTAATAGCAAGATAAAATAAACAAGAACAAATTTGGATTCTTCTCCATCTTAGAGATTTAGAGGCAACTTCAATTTCCCACAATAACCAATTTAAGTCGCCATTTTAGACAGGTCTCTTCCGTATCATCGAGTATCTTAGGAAAAACAAAGTGACACAGTAATGCGGTATGTGCAGAACACACCCTCGTCTAGCAACCGGACATGGCACGAGTTAGTAAGAGTCTTGTACGGAGAGGTATGATGACTAATGCGGAGAACGAGTTGAATGTGTTGGCATGATGTGTTGCGTAGTCGTGTCTGTTCTGTAACAATGTTCTTTGCAGCGACAAGAGCTTGCCTGCGATTTCCGGGTACTGTATGGTATAGTCAGGATTACTTTAAATATACTTATAACTCTTTAACGATCGCGTAACCCCCCAAAAATGATCTTTACAGTAAATGCTTACAAACCACTATGATCGAATTTGTAACAGCAAACCCACCGTTGCTCATTTGCTACCAGTGCAATATGTAAACGTTTGTGCAACAACGGTCAACACTCGAGATTAGGTTTAACTAAGGTTCCATAGCTTAATGGTACCGCCTGTACTTAGTCTACTACTACCAGGAAACGAAACGTCTAAAATTCGCTTTAAAACGAGAATAACAATAGCAATTATAATAATAATAATAATAATAATAATAATAACAACAACAACAACAACAACAACAACAACAACAATAACAATAACAATAACAATAATAATGAGGATAAAAATAAATAAGAATGTGAAAAGTAGAGTAAATTGGTGGGCGAAAGCAGTCTTCAGCTGTAATTCGCTCTATAAGGATATCAGTTCTTTATTTAAAAAAGGTTAGAAGAACAAGCAGAGTCACTCCGCGTCAACAGCATGGAGAGAGACATAGGGAATGACTGCTATCGAATGCACTGCTTGCTGAAATCTTCCCCTGCACATGAGTTACCAGTGCAGATAGCTTCGGAAAGTACCTGCATATTCTTAGAGAGACAGAGGGAATAACTGCTATCAAATGCACTGCTTCCTAAGATCTTCCCCTACACATAAGTTACCACTGCAGATAGCTTCGACAGATAAATGCATATTCTTAGCGCTGCGTGTGACCACTCACATGTAATCACGATTAAATTTTCGGTTGCAGTAATTAAAAGATCAGGCAGCATGTTTTAATTCCTGAAGAGTTTTTTCAAACTCTTCCTGTATGAACAAACCACATACAAAACAATGCAAATCTTGTGGTAACTAGATGACTTGACGATACAATAACAAGGTGAAATATTGAGCGACTAATTCGGGCAAACATACAACATTGAAAACAGAAGTAT